TCGCCGTGCATTTTTGGAGTAATTTGTCCCTGCTTCCCACCTCACGTCCAAATGTTGTCCATGTTTTCAGTATCTGTTTCCTTAGTTCAGGTTGTGTAAAGTGATAATAATAATAATAACAAAACAATAATAATAATAATAATTCAGCTGTAACACTCTTTCGGTGCCCAGCAGCTGTGCCACCGGGGGGAAACACGAGGCCCGAGATATTGCCAGGTCATCCAGGCCTAGACAGAAGCAGTCGAAATGCAGGGGTTGGGTTCGAACCAAAGTTGGTAAATTCATACCTTAACCATTGGACTATCTCCAGCTCATGTATATATATATATATATACATATATATATATGATTAAGTTTACATAATCCCTCATCATGCGTGTGTGCTCTCTCGTCGCCCATACACATCGTAATTGCAGGAATATTCAGGACTCACATGCTTTACTGTCAGTCCTGTTCAAGTTAATTCCACATTGTCTACGTCTGCTTGTTGATAAACCTTTACCATCCTGCCCTGTTGTCTAGTGATCGATATTATTCGGTTAGGCTCCTTTCCATAATACAGGTTATGACGGACAATAATGCCAACGAACTGCTTGTAAAAAAATGCGACCATAAAGAGGGTATCACAGCGTCTACGAGGGACGACTTTCTTCCATTGATCTATTTCTTCCGTAACTTGGAAACCTGAGTCCCAAGCTGTGGTCTTGGAGTGGTAAACTATGTGAAGTTCCTCCCCAGACGAGAGGACAGATAAACCGACACCCGTCTACCCTGGTTCCCTATTTCTTGATAATCTTTACCTGAAAATATGGTGAAGCACATTCAAACTATTGTGTCTGTCTCCGTCCGTCCGTCTGTTTGACTCCGGCATTGGATCCAGTTTGTCTGAAACACATGGACAACGCTAGTGGATGCTTTTTTCGGGCTTTTTACGCTTGTTGGGATAGGGCCGACTCAACCTTTGCTCTCCAGCACGTCTACTTTTTTAGCCACAAAAACGGTATTTGCCGTTCTTGCTTGGACTTGAGCGGAACGTAGAACATTTTGCAACCGACCTAGTGAAATACAGCACGCTACTAGATGACGATTTTTAGACATGATCCTCCATGATCCTGTTTCTTGTTTTTTTTTATACTATTCTCAGGTGTCCATCTGTACTACGTTGTTGGTGAAGTTTATGCCGAATGTTTATCGGACAGCAGCATCTTTGTCCAGTCCCGCAACTGCAACTACCACCATAATTTCCACCCCACGACAGTTTGCAAAATTCCTCCAGGTTGTTCGCTAAAAATATTCTCCAACCAGGAGTTTGCCCACCTCCTTAGTCGCACGGTACATCACGGTTTCGAAGCTGTTTACGAGCTGACAAAAATGTGCACAATCCGGATGAGTTTTGTCAAAGGCTGGGGCGCAGAATACCATCGTCAGGACGTCACCTCAACGCCATGTTGGGTTGAAATTCATCTGAACGGACCACTACAGTGGCTTGATCGTGTACTAACCCAGATGGGCACTCCGAGAAATCCCATTTCTTCAGTATCCTGATCACTTTTGCCAACCATAGTCGATTTGTTCTTCACAGTCTATCTGACTCCTTCTCCGGTTACTTTTCACCAGCGCCTTCTCCCTGTCTGACCATGCATATGTTACCCTGTGATTATTCTAGAACCCACTCGCTAGGTTTCGTTTCATCATTGCTCGTGACTGAGTCCTCTTGGTCACTGTTGGGACTCGTGTTTTTCCACAACGGGGTCTGATCTCTTCACTGCGCCTATCCCCGCGGTGTCGTACCGCGCTACATAACCCAGTGTTACTTGATTTCCCGACCGAAGCAGCCAATTTCTATTGCGCGTCTCTTTCCCCATAAGTTCTTGCTTGTTGTTGTCCTCTTTTTGTTTACTGCACATGTCTTCTACAGGTAGGGCTTTGGTTTGTGTCGGTGTGTGTATACGCTTATCTACATCCCTTCATTTCTTATCATCTCTCTCTCTCTCATCAAGCCGTCTGTCCTTGTGTCTTTCAGTTGTGCCTTAGTCATCTGCGACAAGCAACACTGCCTCTATTTTCTCCCCGCTCGTTTCGTTTGTCGTGCCCTCTGGCCAGTATGTGTCAAGGTGTATTTCTACCAATCGTTGCATTTATGACACGATATCGTTGCCGTCGCGTCACGATCTGCAGCAATTAATTTTACACATCTTGGAATCTCTTCGTTTTCTTGACGGAAAATACCCATTCCTTCCATCTCCATGTGTTTTTTTAATTTGTTATTTTTATCCACGGCATTTCGTTTACACGCGCCAACCACGTTTCGACTGTTCTTTTGTATACTGTGTGAACAAGTAGGCAGTGGCCCCCCTTGTTCTCCATTGGTGCTAATCGGTTAACCATTTGGATCAATCGCATGATTTAGTCGTTGTAAAGAGTATTCTATTCCCCGTCCCTCATTTTTATGTAACGTCGGCCTTATCCGGTATGTCAACTCAAACGTGAATGATTGTTATATTCACAGTATGCTCACAACATACGCAACATTCTAATCTTGTCTCTTTTTTAACCTCTATCTGAGTCAGCTGGGTAGACAGTGTTGTTGTTGTGTCTTGCAAACGGTAGCGCAACTCCTACGTCGGTCCTCGGATGACTGTTCCACTTAATATGTTATACCAAAAGGCACGGTTGCTTGAGATAGCCTTTGGTGGAGACCAATGGAAATTATTACAACTGCCTCTATAGGGTTATCATAGAAGTCCCACAAGGTCACACCAGAATCTTCGTGAGGGGCGAGAAGCGCCGAGTCATGAATGTTCGATCCTGACTGGCTCATATTGCGACCAATCAGGTCACGCTTGTGCTCCGTAATCAGCTCGCAGTACACCCGTCCAATCGACGTAAGTCCGGTTATTTAGCCCCGGACAGGTGTGTACTGCATTTTGTGCCGTTCATCAAAACGGCTACTAGAATTAGGCCTTCCAGAAAGTTCCATGTACAAAGCTGTCAGTTTCTTCTAGGATCTTAGTAATCTTTGGACTAACATGATGATATGGGGTGTTGAAACTGTTATCCGGCCGCCTACGGTACTTAACATCAACTGCAAACTTCTAACACTTATTATCAACACATACAGCTCTCCTTCTGAAGTACTGGTAGCATTGGCTACATTCGTGCCTTTCTTAGAAACGCCCTCGCTGGAGGGACGCACTTTGAACCACGCTTTTGTAACGCCTTTCTTTACGGTTGGAAAAAACACCAACTGATATGAAGGAAACTACGTTAAGTTGTCCGACTAAAATACCAGGACTGAAACTGTCGTTATCATGTTGAACGAGTACTAGAATAAGAATCTAGTATTTTCTTGACGGAACGACGCTCATAAGGATGCTGAAAACTCATCGACAACCCACAACAATCGTCTCCCATTTTGCAGCTCATCAGTCGCAGTCCGTCAACTTTATGTTCGAACCGAACCCGAACTGGACGTCATTCGTGAAACACTCGTGTGCACACTGATTTGGTTTTAACGGATTTCAACAGGCATCTGTGCACATGGTGCAAGCTGGGTCGATAATGTTCCTGTACCGTTGGGCCTCAAGATAGCCCACCTGTCTGACAAACCTGTTGCCGTTGTTCGTAAATATAGAAGCTCACTATTAGCATCTTAAACCGATATGAGCTCTTTGGGTATCATCAGAAAAGTTTCTTTTAAGAACAGTGAAGTTTACACTGCTACCATACCAACGGAGGGAGGTACGGGGGCTGGGATTCTGCCAGGTTGCCCAAGCCTAGACAGAAGCAGTCGAGATACTGAGGTAGCGTTCGAACCATGGAACTTTCAGTCCGTAAGCTGGCGATTTGGCCACTGAGCTATCCCGAGACCATTATGGTATTTAATAGCATGCTTATATTTGCTTATATTATCTTGCTATATGCATATGATACAAATGGGTGGAACTTGAGGCTCATATCATGTAATAAAAGACAGGCCCACGTTTTGCATCACCGTCCCAAGCACTATCTCCGATTTTCTAACCAGCATTCTACTTCCGCCACCGACTCAAGCTGTTTTTGTTAGCATTCCACGCTAGAACACCAATTTCGCTCCCGATCCAGAAGCTAAACAAGCAACCAGATTTCAAAGTTGATCAGTATGCAATGGATGACAGCGGAAATATTGTGGAAACGGTATGGCCTCAATAGCACTGTGCCCAGTACAAAAAACAAGTTGTTGACCGCCATTATGGTCCTGACCAATCATACCGAAGCAAATTGTGTCTGAAGTATCCAATCCAATGCCCGGAAGTACTCAGGAAATTTGGCTGCTTCACATGTTTCGTTCTGATTTGGACTTATTATATTCACAATCCCCGAAAGTGTGGCTACCGGCCGCGTGGTTAATAGTCGATAGAGGTACAATCTCTACCAGAATCAGACAATCGATCCTGCTACGTCCACCCGATTAGTTTCGATCGAAACAAAGTGCACAGTGGATTCCTTTCCAGGAACGAACATAAGCTTGTAAATATGCCAGCCCTCTGTCTGACTGCGATATGAAGAATTATCTATGGAACTGCTTTCCTCTACGCTTTATACAGGCTATTTGACTAACCTGAAATCAATCTGCCTTGGATGATTTCGACCAATCGGAATGAGGTCTGTCACGTGACCCATTCAACTCGCAGTTGATGTATTGAAAAATCGATGGCTTGTATTGGGGCGCCAGAAAATTCCTTGAGCCGCCGATGCCTAAGCGGCCCGAAGCAGAAGAATCGGCATGGAAGAGCGATCGTGGTGTGATCTCCAAGGATGCGTACAAACATTCGAAACAGCAAAAGACCGCCCTGCCCAATGTGCATTATTACGCAAGCGACACTGAGACATCAACTGTTACATCAGATACTGAAATTCAGTCCCCATTTCCGTGGCGTTATGTATGGCTAGCTGGAATCCTCACAGTCTTCGTCCCATTCACTCCACTCGGTCTAGCAGCCCTCATATTTCTGGTCACAGCCTATACGGATTACAGCTTGGGCATGCTCGATACCTATAAGAGGAAAGTTCATCGAGCCAGGAATGTACTAGTTGTGACTTTTTTCTTTCTCTTGCTTTTCATCTGCCTCATGATTATTTTCAGTGTACTCAGCAGCTTGAATATGATAAATTTTTCTCGATGGTGTAAAGACAAAGCATTATTAGCCTGCATCGGACTACGATAACGCCACGGTCGCCCACCGACCCATCATCTCATGGGAGTAAAAAGGGGCAATATTTCGTTGCTGTTCTATTTGAAACAAGAGTTGAACTTTACTCGTGGAAAGGACGAAGAACGCAGCATATTGGCTGTGCTTGTTATTGCCTCCTCTTACAAAGTAGATGGTTATTTATCAACTGGAAAACATGGTATCCATGATATACGGATTCATCCCTCGTACAATAAGTGTTTTTGCTGTCGGCCTTGAATCTTGTACTCGTTGACAATACAACAAAGCCAAATACTGGCAATACAAAGATAAGTATTCCATGTGTAGCGTGAGTATTGCGTGCCGGTAAGAGAGCAGTGCGTCTCGGTAATCGCAGTGATAACAAATGCATTTGGTTACGGCCCAAATGTGGGAATTGACCCAATCCATGAACCGGTCTTGTTCAGGCTTGGCCACTTTCAACATGCACAAACGTACACATTCCATGTGAAGTTCATAAGTCTTACGCCATATATCTTCGTCAGCCAATGCCTTCTGGCGCTCCTCGCGAAGATTAACGTCAATAGACAAGTCCTCAATATTCACTTCGGGTGGTGCTGGCGTCGCGCCTCCTGCAGCAAACGAACGTGCGTCCTCATATAATGTGATAGTGGTGCCGTCAACTCGGAAAGCCGAAGCGCGGAACAAGGTTGAATAGTCCGAATGTAAGGCGTCATAGGCCTCGTACAATTTCTCAAATGCATTGTACATTGTCAATAAGAGTTCACCGAATTCGCACAACTGATGACACTTGCATGGGTACGGAAGAGACTTTTTACGAGTAATAGCCACCTTGACACGTTGCTCTTGTCTCAGTATGTTTTGCACGTCCTTGTAAATTCTCGGATTGTTCAACTCAGCCATTATACGAAGATCATCGTCCTCCTCACGTTTGGCACCCTCAGGAGGGGAACAGATTTCTTCCATAGGGTCCATTATACACCTAGAAATTCAAAAATCAATAAGGACTCTGTAAATCCGTTTGTGCTTGCACGCATAACGGGCTGTGTATCAGTGGAAATGTTAGTGCATCACAAGCACCGGACGTTATGGAATTGATGGCTTCTGTGGATTATGGAAATAGTTAAAATAAGAATCAGGACTGACGAGCATGATGATGGGGGTGATGATGTTGCAACATACTGAAATGCAGAAATGTCTGCAATCTTGATAGTGATTATATGAAGCACCAAAAACCATCAAGTAAGTCATATATAAGTACGTTCGGTTGTGTAGCGTGGACTTCGTTGATGAATGTGTCCAGTACCAACAGCCGCGATGGCTTGGTCTTGTACTGAGGATGTCGAATCATAGTCCACTAAAGAATGATGTTTTCTGTGTCCAATTCACAGTGGCGCAAGCAGAGGTGGTCATACTCTGACCCGGAACAGAGGTACAAAAGCGACTACGAAAAGTATGACTAGCCTTCCAGGATGCATGGCAAAACGAGGTGTGTTGAATACAGTATTCCATCTTTCAAACGAATTTGTCTGCAATAGTTCCCTCCTGTACGACCACATGTGTGTTTACATAAACAACTCACAAGCAGATTTCTGCTAGGGCTAGGCTCACAGTTTTTCAAATGTGTATGTATTCACATTTTGCTATGACTAAGAGTTTGAAAGCAAAAACTTGAATTTGTTGTCTATCATAGCGGTAGAACAGTCGAAGCATAGAAAGTAAGAAAATACCCATCTAATTAAGCTTACTATCTCAGAACGCAGAGAAACGAAAATTTCGACCACCTCTGTGGTTTCTGATCATCTCTCTCTCTCTAATGTTCGCTAGCTGTTTGTGTCGGTGAAGCACATGAATGAAATGATGGGTCGTAGTATGATTTTAATCGTTTCTGTGGAAATGTGTTGCGCTAAATCAATTAGTCCACGCTAGTTTCTCTTCAGATTTAGAAAACAGCTATCACAGTTACAATGTTCACGTACACGAAAAAGATGGTTGCTCGTGGTATAGGTAAAGTTTGTGAAAAAAAAACTGAATATGGCCACGGAGTGGGTTTGTTCAGTAGTCTGATTACAACTGCCCCAGCTGCTGATCGAAACCGTACACTAGAGTGCCAAGAAGTCTCACGAGATACTCTGTTCACTGAAGCATTTGCAATGCAACTGGTTAGCACTTGCTGATGTTTATTCGTGAGCACTTTGGACAGAGTCGGCCCGTAACATGGCGATCCATGCCTAAATTTCAAGAACGATCCGCTTTTATTACGCAGATGACAACAACTGTTTCGGTAGTAGTACCTATGTGCGAAAACGAGCATAGCTGTCGCTCAGTAGTCCCGTTTGATGTAAGTCCTGAGTTGCTCTGACCTTCACATGGCGTTGCAATCAACATTGCTGGATATGAGGACTTTGGGAATTATAACCTGGGGTAGAAATGTGGTTGTATGATTTCGCACCTGCCTGGTACATTTTCGTTTCAAGTCATATGTACCCATGATCAGGTATGTGGCTTGACGCATACAGTTCAGAATTGTATTTATCGAACAACCAAAGAGAGAAACCACCATTTTTGTTGTACGGGACAACCACTTAGACTTTGTAAGGATCATCGCAACTCAGTCTAAGATCAACACACTACAAGTCGAAACGCCACAAAGATGAAGTTTCCCATCAGAATCCAGTAAAACGTTGCAATAACGAATAAAACCACTGTCTTCACTAGGTCGTATACAGAATTTTGATCTCTCATTCCCTAATCGTCTTGGCTGGAACAGCAAATTTTGCGTTGCGTGCATGCTTCTGATAGGTTTTTATTACTATTTTAGCTAGCGTCGAGATAAGAGCAGAGATGGCCGTGGGCCACACCCTCTTGATATACAAGTCATAACAACATTATACCTAACTTTAACTATTTGGTCACATGATTTTATTGTTCTTAGCCTGAGATTTGACACTTCCAGTGAAGACTTTGTCCTGTAAGTGAAGCCAGTCTATGATGAAAATCCGAGAATTACTCTACGGCTTTACTATTCTCATCAGCAGCTGCGTGCATCCCACGAAATTCAGCAGAAAGTCTCGAACTTGCGACCTCAGGGTTGGTAGTTTCAGCACTCAGCCACCTGATTTCAAACTACCAACCAGGGGGTCGCGGGTTCGAGACTTCCTGTTGAGGTTTCGTGAGATATCAGAAATCATCTTCATCGCCAGCTGTACTAACCGCGTACTTGTCGTACGCGGTAGCTGTCACAGATTCGTTCAAAATGCGCAGTCACACGTGGCACTTTTGTAGAATAAATACGTGTCTAATTGAATAACTCTAATTCACTCCTTCGATCGAGGAGCGACAACGGGCTGAAGGTAGCCTCGGCGAGTTACCCACGTTGATTCAATAAATATCCTTCCGTCTACACTCAACCATAACATAAAAGTTTAGTGTAAAAAATCACTAGTCTAAATGAATAGTCCTGTCTAACGAACCGTGACAACTATTGTTACATCAATTCGATCAATTTAGCAGCTATAATCCACATCGGTTCCAGCTGCTACAGTTTCGGTCACCAGAAAGTGGGAGAGCGTGAGAGATGCCGTTAAGATACCACATTCCAAAGGGATCGTTAAGCTCTTACACCAGAAAATAGTAAACAAAACCCTACACCCTTATTGTCTTATAGCGCTAAAGCCAGTTGGGAGATTACAGATGGCACACTTAATGGACAACCCTCCTGAAGCTAGCAGTAGACTTGTCTCTTGTATCACTTCTGTATGAAGAAAGCTATAGATTTATTCGTTAGTCCGACATGGTCCGCAGATGACTCATCGAAACAGGCAAATGAGCAACAGTTTTCCGTCACTTTGTCGTATGAGTCAGTCTCAGGTGTGATCTGTCCTGCCTATTGTATGCCAAGAAACGTTGGCTGTTTATCTGGACGACGATGATGACAAATAAAGCCTGTCTGGTCTTCGTTTGTGCAAGCTTCTAAATTCTAACTAAAAAAATGATATTTTTCCACACCACTGCTTTTCCCTAATTGTCAGAGAGGTATGATTTGATCCCCTCAAAAGGTTGCCCAATGAGAGTCGTTCTTGGTTCATATTTCACAGAACAGTGCCCCAACCTTTGTGACTGTCTCTCTCGAATTGTATAACAATCTCATTCGAGCGACAGAAGACATCGCGATTTCGTAAAATTGAGGAAACCAATTAAGAACGTGGTTATTGCTGGTAAGCGTGACTGATCATTTTCCCAGTGTTATTCTCATTCAGCATTCTCATGCTAAACTAAATCGAATCCTTTTTGCACCCGTCGAAATCTTGGACCAAATTTATCCACGTGTCTGTTAATCTACGGGTTGAATTCCAGCGCCAAGGCTTGAGTTAGGCGCGCTCATTTAAACTGGTGGGGGCTGATGTTTGTGCGAGATAATACGCGGCACTCCTCTCAGGAGACACCCCATGTTTGGACAGGCCAGAACAGAGCATCCCCAAAGCCACAATTTAAAGTATCCTTTCGCATAGGTAAATCATCATCAGACTAAGCTGAAACCCTTTTTCTTTGATATCACCTCGTTGATGGCATCACTTTAATCCGTGTGTCATAGTTTTGCGAAGTTTTTGGCCTATCTGGTTTCAACGGCTTCACCGAAAAACTACTAAGGATACTAGAAATATGAAATAAACAGAATTCAGTACAATCGAATAGTTCATTCATTAGGCCGAAAACACTGGACCAAAACCGTTCCAAAGTCATATGTAGGTTGGTATCATCGCGCTATCACCACAAAATACGGAAATAAATTCCGGTGTCATCGGTCCGGTCCTGCTTTATGCCTGTGAAACATGGCCTCTATGGGCAAATGCCCGAAAGCTGAAGTAGGAGTCTCTACATGGTATATGGGGTCTATAACCGCAGCCGACATTGAATCGTGATTCGTACAGATCCGGTAATCAAGAGATTGCGGAAGCCGACTAATCAGGTCTCAGAACTTAGCCGTCCGCGAGCAAGTAGTATGTATACCAGCGCCAGCATTGCAAGCCAGGTATGTGTGTGTTAGATGTGACGAGTATCAGATTCAAGCCATTCAAGCCATTAACTCCACGAGAGTTGGTGACGGTCTCACTTTACTTTTGTAAATAGGATACACCAAACGGCAATGTAACGACAATGGCTGTTTACAGCAACATAAGCAAATCACTTGCAGGCAACGTTTAGGAAGGCAACGTGTCGAAATCTGTGCAGCTCGAGTGCGTTTGCTGATGGCTGATGATCAGGCTCGCCAAGCTTGAAAGTTAGCCTTCAGCGTTTCACTTCGAGTAATTTATTCACATCACATTAGCCTGTTGTGTTATCCAAACAAGTTGCGTCGTAAGAAGAAATTTCACGACCAATGGAGTGAAAGCTTTTGTCTGAACACTGTGATTATCCGGCTTTTCCCTTTAATATTGCGACGTGAAACATTCTTATGACAGATGAAAGGCCTAAACCCAACTTTATCGAACCGAACGCACAGCTACGGATGATAGTTAAATTCACTGGCCAAAGAAACCCTCCATGGGAGGCTGTCGTATTTGGAGTAGCCTATCTTTGACTGGCCACAGAAAATTCGTCATATTATGCAATTAATTTGCATAAATGATTTTGCATTCTTGCGAATCGTCCGCAGTAGTAGCTCACTCTGGTTCACTCACTCTGTCAATGATAGCGAGCTTCATACGCCCTTTGGACCAAACTTCCACTTTCCAGCATACAGGTGAAACAGTCAGAAAGCTATTTACAAACATCCATCTCCTGATTCTGAGACCTAGTGGCAGTAGACATTGGTTCATTTCGCATTATTCATTTTCGGACTGAGTTGATTCAGTCGACCAGAAAACCAGGTAACTCAGCTGGCAAATTTCACAGATGGAGGCGCTAGGTATAAAACAGCCTGAGACTGAACAGAAACTGCTAGACAGCGTCTGAAAAGACTGCTCAGTAGAAAC